CGGCCATTTGCGTTCGATATTCACTAGATCCCCCCGACGCGGGAAACCAAACTATCCCCGCGTATACGTGTTGTACACACGACGCGTACTAGACGCCGCGATGAATGGCGGGGCGACGCAGCCTCCTGAGACGCGAGCGGGGCCGAATTTACGCGGGTCTTTTGACTGGGGCTCCCCCCTCCTCTTACCTCATCCTTTCCAGATAATAAAGATGAAGCTATGCGATGTTGAGATGAAAAACGTTCTGCGATGAAGAAGATAAATAAAGAATGTTTCTTCGCAGAGTTATATTTTGTAATTGATATCGGCGGATTGAAGCGGGAATAAAAATGCACGAAATGATACCTGACGTTATCCTGTGTTCCATTTTTTGTCTTAAACTATTGTTTCAACATGTCGCAATTGCAACGTGCATTCATATCGTGTTCGTTAATTCTTTTTTTAGCCATCCTCAAGGATGCCGACCTGACTACGATGTCTGCTAAGAAAGTGAGGCAACAGATCGAAGAGAAACTCGATGTTGACCTCATAGAAAGGTAAGCGACGAACGAAAAGACGCGATATATATATACATATATATACATATATATATATATATATATACAGTGATGAAATACGATTATAGAAAAATATTTTTGCTCGCGCATCTTGGCACTTTGTATTTTGATATATGATAAGATACGGCGATCGTATACTGCCGCTCGCGAAAATGGCGACAGTGCTAATTTCGATATCAAGTCGATTCATATTACACAACGCAACGGAATATCTCTCCTCGATATACGAGCGCGTTTACTCGCGCCAAAACTGCGTCGTTTAAAGACCATTTTTAACGGCCGAATCAAGTTGTCTCGTTTCCCGTTTTTTTACCGTATGAATAATTTAACTTTAATGTTTATATTTTAAAAGAAGTTGCCGATGTGTATCAGCCTTAAGTACGAGTCGGTAATATTAAAAATACGAATTCTGGACGTAAAGTATAAAAGTTTGTACAAGATAATCTAATGCTGCATTTTTTAAATTTGCGATGCTAAATGGGAAAACAAATAATTTCTTTGTCAGTCGATTTATCACGTGTGCTCGCGGATTACATTACTGCGACGTAGTTTACCTCTCGGTATAAAAAACGCATTTAATTGTTTTATTAATTGTTGAATCGTACTGATCATGCCGTCCTTGAAATTGAATCAAAAACTTGGAAACGGACATACAATAGGCACTTGTGCACTGTAATTTGTGCAGAAGAGAGTCTCTCGGTGTCCTAGAAAAAAAAACAGGGGATCTCTGAGTGGAACTGCCATTATAGACACAAGTTACCACCTCGTTCCTCCCCTGACATTCTTTCACATCTCGGCTCGCGGATTATTCCTACATTGATCACATATAAAGTAATATCTATTACGTTGATTCTTTATAGGAAAAAGGAGGTGGATGATTTAGTCATGGAATGCCTCCAAGAGAAACAGGATGGAGGAAAGAAAAAGAAGAAGGCCGCTAGTGAAGAGTCCGAGGATGGCGAAGAGGAAGAGGAAGAAGGATCTGAAGAAGAGGAGGAGGAGGAGGAGAAAAAGCCAGCTAAGCGAAATCCTGCTAAAAAGACTCCTAACAAGCGTAAGAAGGGATCCTCCGATGATGAGGAAAGCGCTAGCGATGATGATGCTAGCGACGAGGAATACAGTCCAAAGAAACCTAAAGTTACACCTAAAAAAAGTAAGATATTAATTCCATTAGAAATTAAAGAGGCCGTTTAGGACCGGGCATAGGTGTAAGTAGCCAGTTAAATTAAATTATTTAAGTGAATTAATTTAACTGGCTACTTACACCTATGCCCGGTCCTGAACGGCCTCTTTAATTTCTAATTGATTTTATATCTTAAAGGCCTATGTTAAAATTGTAGTAGAAGATATTAATTCTTTGTACTAGAAGAGTTTTATTCCCCGGCATGATCTTAAAAATCTCACGTGAAATGTGTTAATTTATTTTTTCTAGCTAAGCCCGGAAAGAAAGGAAAGAAGAAGGGAAGCGATAGTGATAGCGACGAGGACTGGGGTAAAAACAAAAAGGCTCCGGGTAGTACAGCAAAGAAGGGAGGTGGTAGCAAAGGCAAGGGAGGGGGTTACACGCGTGCTATCACGTTGTCTCCGGAGCTCGCCGCGGTTGTTGGCGCAGAACAAATGGCTCGACATGAGGTCGTGAAGAAAGTATGGAGTATCATCAAAGAGAGGAATCTTTATGTAAGTATTATTTGTAATCAATTTAATCTTGATGTACTTATTTCCTATATCTTGAAATTTTCTTTTTACTATTTCCTTCGCTATATCTTAGAGGAAAAATTATATATACATATATTACATGCATGTACAAAAATCATGTTGCCAAGTAAATGATTTTTACAGGACCCTAAGAATAAACAGTTTGCGATTTGTGACGAGGAATTAATGAAGGTAATCGGCGTAAAGCGTTTCAGAACTTTTGGTATGATGAAATATCTCAAAAATCACTTTGTAGATTAAATCATTCTTCAATCCCGATCTCCGACAAGTTATATACATATATATAACATATTCCAGGGTGCGCCTCGTGCACCTCTTCATCTTTCTCACACGATACATACATATACATGAAACACAAAAGGTATTTCTTGCGACTTAAGACTTTAGACCATGTTTACACCATTCCGACGTACTCTGCCGCTCATTGTAACCATTTTGTCCCATTGATGACTGCAATATCATATATATTGATCTTGTAGACATTATTATAGATATGACTCCTGACAAATGCGTTGGTAATACAATTATACATATAATCTCTAACGAATAATCGCTAATGTTCTTTGGCTCCACTTGATATTGGGACAATTGTTACCATGGACGTCCAGATGATTTCGAAATGTGAATGACATTACAGTGGCCAATAGTCAATAAGCTGGTTTTAAGTCATCTAATTCAAAATAAATGTTATATCATTTGTATGGTCGTCATTAATAACAATATCTTACTCCTAATGCAGTAACATGGCGCGCGATTATAGCAATGGCATTATTGAATGATAAACTAAAAATGAAATTTACTTTTTTAAGCACTTGTTTTGGTATTTAAGAAGCTCAATTTTATGTTTTGTGACATTTCAACTAACACATTTATTACGTTGGCGATATATAAAAGCTTTGAATATATTTAAAATATTAGAAAAATACTTTTCTTTTATCGATGGTCTTAACTGTCTACCCTTCGGTACGAAAATCTTTAAAGTTAATGTCAGGCTATGCACAATTTGCGATTTTTAAATTTGCCATTTGCCAGTCACGTGAGATCGATTAGCGATGCAGATGGGAGGATTCACCAAGTGCATGTATATTGTTTACCGTTCACGTCAATTTGGTAACGGAACCATTTCCCTACAAAGTCAAAGGGCGCAAATCACTGCGAATCAATGAATTCGTAGGTTTATGTGTAGAGCTACACTATATGGCAAACCACAGATCGTTGAATTCACAAGCAGTATGGATGGTTTATACTGGCGAATGATAAATTTCTGCAAATACTACAAATTGTACGTAATCTGGCGCTAGTTTTACAGTATTTTTGTATTATTCCTCTACCTTTTTTATATTGAAAATATTTCTTCCGGAACATGGATGTAACAGAATGATTGACTTCGCCTCCAAGGCGAAAGGAACAATATGCGGACGTTCAAAAGAAAAAAAAGAAAAAACAAAGAGAGAAGCT